TGGGCCAAAAACAAATCATAGCCATAAATAACAAACGAAACGCATTTCCACCGTAACTCACTTCCCGATCATGTGCGTGGTGTAGCCGAGTTGCGAGAGGCGCTCCGGCAGGAGAGTGTGGTCCAGCGAGAGGCCAGTGGGCGTCAGGTCGGCCAGTGGTGGCCCCTAGAAACCGTAAGCTTATATAGTTTATAATTAACTGGGATCATAGTATATAACAACATCAGAAAAGCAATATAAGGCAGTCTAATTTTCTTTTATCCAGTCGAAAGGAAGCGAGGGTCACCTGGCGGCCGAGGCGGAAGGGGTAGAGCCCCGTCAGGAAGGCGGAGCGGGACGGCGTGCACAGAGGCTGCACGTAACTCTGCTCCAGCTGGACGCCCGTGTCCACCAGCTGCTGCATGTTGGGCGAAACCACCTGGTCGTTGTGCCATGACACGTCGTTCCAACCTGGGAGGAGAAGAGGGGAGAGAGATTGAATGACTGAGAGAGAGAGAGAGAGAACGAGAACAAGAGCGAGAGAGAGAGACAGACAGGCAGAGAGAGAGTGAGAGAAGGTGGAGCTAAAGAGATAAGAGTTTATTTCTCGACATTTCACATCTTAAAATAGATTTTCCTTCTGAAGAGAAAGAAAACCTTTTCTAGCTGGATCTTTCAACGACCCTCGGAAATGGGATCCTCTCAGGCTCTGTTCATACTTCGTCACGGCGATGTCTCGCTGCAACCCCTCACTCAACCCAACGAAAAACCACCCAGGAACTTTCCTCACTTTATCCTAAAATTCTTGAACATCACAATTCTCACCCAGATCGTCTGCCAGAATGAACACGATGTTGGGAGCAGAAGCAGCGGCGGCAGAAGCAGGCGCCGCCGACAGCCACAGCAGCGCCAGCAGAGCGGGAGCCACCGCTGGGTAGGGGGGCATGAGCCTCATGGTGGCTGTATCATCTGCAAGGAAACAACATTTTTGAATAAATAATTTAACGGAAACAGATGAAGAGAGAGAGAGAAATGTGAAAGAGAAAGAGAGAGATCCAACACAGTCCTCTACGAATCTATTCCCTAAATATCCGTTGTTAAAGGCAACGTTCTAGAGGCCATAGCTCTGCACATCACAATACCTGATAATGAGTTCACGGACAATAGAGGTGTGCCGGATGTTATTTACAACTGATATGGGAATAGATGGTCGAATCTGAAAGTAGAATCCTGTTATGACGTCTTCCTTCTCTCTCTTCTTCTTTTCTTTGTATTTATACTCCTTCATTTTCTTTGTCTCCTTCGTCTTCGTCTTTCTCTTTTTTTTTCTCCTCCTTCTCCTTTTCCCTCTCTCCTTCATCCTTCTCCTTCGCCTTCTTTCCTCCTTTCTCCTCCTCCACCCCTCCTCCATCTCATAATTCACCTCTTCCTTCTCCTCCTCTTCCTCTGCCTCCTACACCTCCTCCACCTCCATTTCCTAATCCTTCTTTTCTTCCTCCTCCTTTCCCTCCTTCATCTTCTTCTCCTCCTTTTCCTTCTTCATCTTCTCCTTCTCTTCTTCCTCCTCCTCCTTATCCTCCTCTTCCTCCTCGTCTTATTCTAAATCTTTTTCTTTTCCTTGTCCTTCTCTTCCACCTCCACCTTTACTTCCACCTCCTTTTCCCCTTCTATCTCTTCCTCTTGTTCCTCCTCCTCCTCCTCCACCTCCTCCCCTTCCCCTTCTTCCTCTTCCTCTCCTTCCTCCTCCTCCCCACCTCTACCTCCACCTTTAACCTCCACTCCTCTTGCCCCTTTTTACTCTTCTCATTCTTCCTCATCCCTCTCTCCTCCTCCTCCAACCTCTTCCCCCTCCAACCTCCTTCCTCCTCCACTTCCTCCACACCTCCCACCCTCCTTTTCCTCCCCCTCCTCCTCCCCTCCTCCTCCTCACTTCCTCCTCCACCTCCCCTCCTCCTTTTCTCCCCCCTCCTCCTCTCCTCCCCCACCTCCTTCTCACCCTCCCTCAAGCTTCCTCCTCCAACTCACCCCTCCTCCTTTTCCTCCACCCTCCTCCTCAACTTTCCTCCTCCACCTCCTCTTCCTCCCCTCCTCCACCTCCATGCCTAATCCTTCTTTTCTGCCTCCTCCTTTCCACTCCTTCATCTTCTTTCTCCTCCTTTCCCTTCTCCTCTTCCTCTTCCTTCTTCTCCTCCTCCTTATCCTCCTCTTCCTCCGGGCGTCCTGTATTCTAAATCTTTTTCTTTTCCTTGTCCTTCTCTTCCACCTCCACCTTTACCTCCACCTCCTTTTCCCCTTCTATCTCTTCCTCTTGTTCCTCCTCCTCCTCCTCCACCTCCTCCCCTTCCCCTTCTTCCTCTTCCTCTCCTTCCTCCTCCTCCTCCACCTCTACCTCCACCTTTACCTCCACCTCCTCTTCCCCTTCTTTCTCTTCTCCTTCTTCCTCTTCCTCCTCCTCCTCCTCCACCTCTTCCCCCTCCTCCTCCTCCTCCTCAACTTCCTCCACCACCTCCCACTCCTCCTTTTCCTCCTCCTCCTCCTCCTCCTCCTCCTCAACTTCCTCCTCCACCTCCCACTCGTCCTTTTCCTCCCCCTCCTCCTCCTCCTCCCCTCCTCCTCCTCCCCTCCTCCTCCTCCTCCTCAACTTCCTCCTCCAACTTCCCCTCCTCCTTTTCCTCCCCCTCCTCCTCAACTTCCTCCTCCACCTCCTCTTCCTCCCCCTCCTCCTCCACCTCCACCTTTACCTCCATCTCCTCTTCCCCTTAATCTTCCTCCTCCTCCTCCTCCTCCTCCTCCTCCTCCACCTCCTGAGGGAACCTCACTTACAAACTTCCCAAGCACTGTTAACGAGGGAGACTGACTGGTACACTTTTATAAACCACAAGGAGGGAAACGCCAGCTGCAACCCAGGCCCCGTGAGATCTTGCAAGCGTTATCACTAACTGAAAAACAATACAATTATATATATAGATATATAGATAGATAGAATGATAGTTAGATAGATAAATAGATAGATTTGTGTGTGTGTGTGTGCGCGCGCGCGCGTGTGTGTGTGTGTTCATGTGCGCCTGTGTATGCGTGTGTGCGCGCGCCTATCAAAGGAGCCAAAGACCTTCATAAGGACACCAAGAGAACCGTGCA